CCCATGGTTTGCATGATTATTTCCAAAGTCGGACCATGGACGTGGTACATTCCCATACGTTTTGCTGGCACCGTCAGTGAGTTTTGCCACTTAGCACCATACTAGAACTCGTCAAATAGACAAGTGAAGCTGATCCTTTAACCAAATGTGTGCTAAACAGTTGTGGTATCTCCCCTTCTGCCCTGATCTATTCACATTTCCTATATCCACCTATCACGCCTTCATTGTTACAATTTTTACCGTGCTTATTTCGATGTAGTGTAGTGTGCTTCTTTGAGCGACATTCATGAAAACCCTTCACACTCCACTCCTTTCACCCTTGTACTAGGAATGTTGATCAGAGTCTGCCATATTGTTACGCAGTCCTTCCCTAGGTCTTATCACAGTCTCTCTCTTGTCCTGTAAGATCCGTCTGCTCTCTCCCTGGTTCACGTATTTCCCTCGACCCCTGCCACCCCATCAGTGCTACTCGAGGCGTTATTCGCCATCCCCTGTTTCAGCGTGACTAATTCTAGCCTCAAGCCTCTGAGTAAGTCTCATAGTCAAGCCTTTGCTACATCGACCAGGCCTCTTGTAGGACCTACTGTCAGCCAACTAGCTCCAGTCTCCGTCACGTCTATCCTGTTTATATCCCTAATACCAAATCTATGACTTCCCATGTCCTAGTCTCTTGTGTGCCAACCCACAAATGTTGTAGAACTGCTTGCTTTGATTAGGATGTGGGTTGGTACGCAAGACACCAGGGCATGGGAAGTCATAGATTTGGTATTAGGTTTTACCAGAGACGTTGTCCATGTAGCAAATGCGTAACCATGAGACTTAATCAGAAGCTTTAGCCTCGAATTAGTCACTTACTCGCAGAGTGTGGGAAATGACGCCTCGACTAGCACAAATGGGGTGGCAGAGGTCGAGTGAAATGCTTGAACCAGGGCGATAGTAGACGGATTATACGGGGCAAGAACGGACTGTGATATGACCTATGGAAGTAGGACTGCGTAATAATATGGCAGACTCTGATCAACATTCCCAGCACAAGTGTGAAAGGAGTGAGAACGACAGCGCTGAGTGTGAAGAGTTTTCATGAATGCCACTCAAAAGGAGCACATTACACTACATCGAAATAAGCACGGTAAAATTGTAACAATGAAGAAGTATTAGGAGGTTATAGGAAATGTGAATAGACCAGGGTAGAAGGGGACATACAACAACTGTTTAGCATACATTTGGTCAAAGGATCGGCTTCATTTGTCTTTTTGACGAGTTGTTGTGTGGTGCTAAGAGTGCCGAGACTCATTGACGATGCCGGTGAAACGTCTGGGAATCTACCACGTCCACGGTCCGACTTTGGAAATGATCATGCATACATTGGATTAGGTGCGTTCCTCTAAGTCTTCCTACCAATATAAAAAAGTTGCAAAACAAGGTTAAACAACCTCTATACAACGAAAGGAGACTGCGACCACACAAAAGGTCACACCTTCGATATTTGTTTTCTGTTTTATATTCTTATTTCTACTAGCTAATATGCTGATATTTCTTTTTTTATGTGGCTATATAACTATGCGGATCAAGATTGGACTTGTTCATCGCATTATCAGTTAATTTTGTCAATATGACTCATACTGCTTATGTCTTTTTTGTCTATTTAGCTTAGTCCCAAAATACTCATGTTATTAGATCTTTTCTGTCAATGCTTATTTAAACGGTTAACTGTAGGGTTCATCGGGTATGAACTGCCACCAGGCTTAGGGGGCTTGCCTTTTCGTCAACAAGGATAATTCTTATTTTTCGTATATAAGTATAGTTTCGAGACTACCAGTAAATCAATTATATGAGGTGTATTCATCCTATTTCGTTTAAGATGATCAAGGACTGATAGTAGAAATTTCCCAAAATGATATGAGTGGAGCTGATGTTTCCACTAAATTGCTTTTCCAAAAGTTGTTCTCATCCCGGCTTTAGTGGACTGCAGTTTTAACATCGCCTAGGTCTTAGCAACACTCCCAGCGGGGTTCGAACCGTGACGACAGTGCAGTATATCAGCTTGACACGTTAACCACTCGGCCACATTTCCACGAATGCCCTTGGGTCCCAGAGCAGATGTCAGTATTGTGTGGTATTTTAACTAGAAAATTTTTGAGTCATCTTTTGATTAGACGGATCACTCATTGCTGATCACCTTCCTCTTTGCCTGACGTGGTCTCAAGCTTATATTCGAGTCCTACTTAAGTCTATTCACTTTTACACTGGCCGAATGAGTGGATTTGGTCTTATCTGATTAAAAATTCCATGGCATTTATTAGTGCTATTTTTAATAAACTGCGTTCTTAAATCAACCATCAAATTCAGCACTATTTAGCAAACCTCTCTTGTTATACATATAGATTTAAAACTCATGAAGATTTTTCTCTACTCATCATGTCTGGCTTTCTGTTTATTAAATTATACTTTTACTACTTAGTTACTTCGTATATTAGCGAGATTCGTCACATTTGGATTTTGTAAGCTTTTCTCGTTATTTAACTTAGATTAGGACAGAAAGATTGGTCGAATTTCGCTATCAAGCCAGTATGACTCATTTAACGGTGGCCTCTTTCATTTGTTCGATTCTTCATGCAAAATCTCGAATAACTTTTTCTTCTAACTTCCTTTACTATGATTCAAGCCCTGAGAACCCGTTTACCTCGACTATTACTTGGGGCGAGTTAAAGGTAGTTTCCTAGAGACAATCTAATTTATGCTGCTGCGAATATTCACTAGTGCTTGATGGATTTTTCTAGTGAATTGGCTGTCTTTGTATCTTATTTACTTTGTCTTAGTGTAAACCAAAAACTGGCAATTTCCCAGTGTATCCTTGCTTTATCATCTGCCTTTTGCTTACTACTTAGAGATTTAAACAAGATGTACATTCGCATGGATTTTTATCTCTTTTCTACCAACCAGATCGCCAAATACAATTTGTTTCAATCTACTTAAAAATATCAGGTCTTATTTCCTTATTGATTAGATTTTACAGACTACTAGTAAATCATATATATCAGATGTGTTCACTTCATTTCGTTTAAGGTGATGATGAACTGGTAGTTAAATTTTCCTAGAATCATATGAGTAGAGCTGACGCTTCCATTGACCTTCCTTGAGATTTACGTCTGCCTTGTGACCCAAGGACACTCATGACAATGTGGCGTAGTCGTTAACGTGTCGAGATTACCTGTTGCGCTGTCATGGTTTAACTCCTGTCGGTGGCTTGATAAGACCTAGGCGAGTTCGAAACTGCAGGCTTTATTGTATTCTACAAGACATTGCGTAACAATGCCTGAACCCAAAGTATAGAGAGCTTCATTTGAAACAGGATTACTTGCTTTCCTGCAAGCTTTTTCAAACCTATCTATTTCCCCGTTGGAACTTAATCTACGTCTCCTATAACCTTTTGCTAATATCAGAATATTTTTTATTTTTATTTTTATTTTCTCCTTTATCAACCCAACTTCCTCGGATTTTAGCTCTTTCAACCACTTTCCCTGCTTTTTTAAGCAGTCTTTTTACCATATTCGCTTATTTATGTGTTGTACCATTTTCAACTTTTACAATACTATTTTGGATTCCAGGACTCGTTTTTTTCTTCCACATTCCTATTTATTTTACATTTTATTCATTCTATTGGCCACGCTTTTTTTCCTTCTTTTGTCTTTTTGAATCAACGTACCTTTAGCTTCAACGTATAGAATATGTTCACTCTAAGCATCTGATATATCGTGACGTAAAACCAGAAAACTTTCTGATCGGCCGACAGTCATACAATCGACATCGCATAATCTATATGATTGACTTTGGCCTTGCCAAGGAGTATATTGACCCGGAGACGGGAAAACACATTCCCTATAGAGAGCATAAAAGTCTGACGGGCACAGCGCGATACATGAGCATCAACACGCACCTAGGCAAAGGTGAGCAACTTTAGGACTATCGACTATTGTGGCTATACAACTATATTTGCTCAAAAATTACGCATTTTTGTGTCTACATCATTTGCAGATTTTCACTTCATTATCTCTAATTACCTAATGCATACATGAATGCTATACAGCTTATGCACAATAGATTGAACACTGTATAATTCGAATATCGGACTTGCTCATAAATTTTTATCATGATAAGAATGATTCAGCTAAATAAATTCTTTTAATTACTTATAATAAAATCCAAATTATAAATAGCCCCAATAATTATTTTTTACTACAACCGAAAAACGTTATCGATTTTGTTTAAATCTATTTGCCTGGATAGACAATATATGTAGTTGACCCTTACAGTTGGAGAAAGCTGAATTTTTGATTAACCTGGTTAGTTTTTGTTTGACCTCATTCTCGCCACAGAAGGCAACACCATCTTGATCTTCATATCTATAGCCTAGTTATTGTTTATTTAATAGCGTACTAATTGGCACTCTCAAATGGAATGATTTTCCACTAAGCTGTTAACCTGAGGTTATCTTATACAATACACTCAAATCGACAGTACCATGAATGTATCAAAAAATGTCTGGCTACTAGGATGAGTGGTAAAATTCTCCGCAGCCTTATTTTTCTTTTGTATCAATTTTTGCTTCCAGAAATCCAGAAGTGTAAATCATGGATATGACGAATGAATTTTTTATCATCCTTGTTATACACTTATTTATGTTTCAGTATAGGCTACGAAAAAGAACTGTTGTAATAAGTTTACTTACCTATGCTTACGGCAAATAAGTTAATCAATCAGTTTTTTCTGCGCAGTTTTGTTGCAAATCGCGTGTATTTATCCTGAGCTTTTGATGAACGGGCCATCGTTTACTCCATATTTGTCTAAGATATGCTAGATAAGTTCTATTTGTCGGAAGTATGTTTCGAGATAATAAGTGAATCCTGAATACGAGTTATAGTCATTTTGGTGGTTGAATTTTCTCATCATGCTATTAATTTGCCCCAAATTTACATTGAATTTCGCTTAACCTTGCTTCCGTTGAGGTGTTCTCACCTGGGCTGGACTGCAGTTTCTTCCTCCCCTAAGTCTTATCAGCATTTCCAACTAGAATCGAATCCGGGATTGAAGGATGAATCATTTTAGCTCTGGACGATTGAAAAAGTCGTTAGAGTCCTGTCAGCAATAATGACAGGAAACCTTCCATGTTCCCATCAAAGATTGCTATGTATAAAAATAACATGTAATATAAAGTCAGCAGCTCTAACAATGTAGGCGAAGAGAACACTGCTCCAAAAGGGAAATATGATGGTAAAGATTCAAAGATATTTTTAACTAAGATTAACTAGAGAAGTTGTTGACTTTGCTTTCGCAACTTGGCCATATTGGTTTGAAGACCTAGAGGAACGCACTTTGTCCACAGTCCATAGTTTGTATGATAATTTCCAGAGTAAGGCCGTGGACGTGGTACATTCCCAGACGTTTCGCCGGTATCGTCAATAAGTCTCGCCATTTTTAGCACCACTATAATTCGTCAGGGAAAAGTGAAGCAGACCCTTTGACCAATTGTGTACTAAATATTTGTGGTATTTCTCCTTCCGCCATGGACTAATCACCACTCCTATATTCTCGTATCACGTCTTATTAACATTATTTTTCTTTGTCTTATTAAGTGTGATATGATGTGCCCTTTTGAGCGGATTCCATGATAATTCTCCACACTCTCATCCCTTAACCCTTGTGTTGGAAATGTTGATCAGAGTCTGCCATACTGTTACGCAGTCCTCCTCCAATATGTCTTCTCGGAGCCTCCCTCTTGCCCCATAGGATGCATCTGCTATCTCCCTGGTTCGAGTATTTCAATCGACCCCTGTTACCCTATATGTGTTACTCTAGACGTTATTTCCCACACTGCATCGTGGAGACTAAATTGAGGCTAAAGAACCTGGGTAATTCTCATTGTCAACACTGCTTAATGGGTCACGTGTATGATCATATACCTCTACTGTTAGTCAGCCAGCTCTAGTCTCCTCCGTATCTATGCCGTTTCCATCCCTAATACCAAGTCTATGACTTCCTCTGCTATTTTCTTTTGTGGGCTAACCCTCAAATGTTTTGGTTCTGATTGCTTTGATTAGGTTCGATGTAGAATCACAACATTTGTGGGTTGGCACACAAGAGACTAAAGCATAGGACTTGGTATTAGGGATATAAACGGGATAGATGCGGCGGAGACTAGAGCTAGCTGGCTAACAGTAGAGGTATTTTATCATAGACGTGGCCTATTAAGCAAAGTCTTGACTATGAGAATTACTCGGATTCTTTAGCCTCAATTTAGTCTTCAAGACTCAGAGTGTGGGAAATAACGTCTAGAGCAGCACAGACAGGGTGGCAGGGGTTGATTGAAATGGGAGATAGCAGACGCATCCTATCCTATGGGGCAAGAAGGAGACTCTGATAATACCTATGGGAGAAGGACTGCAAACAATATGGCAGACTCTGATCAACATTACTAGCACAAGGTTGATAGGCGGAGCAGAGGCCAGTGAAAAAGCCAGCGTGGAGAGTTCTCATAAAATCCACTCATAAGGGCACACTATACCACACTAAAATGAGCAAAGAAAAATTGTGATAGTGAAGAGGTGATGCGAGGATATAAGATTAGTGATTAGCCCATTGCGGAATGAGAAATATTACGAATATTTAGCAAACAATTGGTCAAATGATCGGCTTCACTTGTCTCTTTGACGGCTTGTAGTCTGGTGGTAAGAATGGCAAAGTTTATTGACGATGCCGACTACGATGCCGGCGAAACGCCTGTGAATGTACCACGTCCATGGTCTGACTTTAGAAATGATTATGTATATACTGGACTCTGGATAAGGTGCCTTCCTAGAAATATGACCAAGTTGCAAAAACAAGGTCAATCAACTTCTATACAATGAAAGAAGATTGCGATCATACAAAAGGCCATACCACCTTCGATAAGATTAACTAATTTGGGATTTGCAGCGTCCTTGAGCCGACTTTTGCAAAGATCCAGCTCACTATTCTGCTTATTCAATATACTATCGCCTATTTTGCTCTCTATTTCTTTCCTTTAATTTTTATCTATGCATATTCTCTCAGGCCATCCTTTTTTATTTCATTGTCTTATAGTTCCTATTCAAGTTCCCCGCTATATGAATAAGCAAATAACTTTTCTCAAATTATCTTGATTTTTATGTATATTTATACAGAAGGTGCACTTATTTATATTCAGAGTTATGTCGAGTCTTGGAAATCAAATTAGCTGAATTCCGTGTCTGCCACTGGTCTTTAATCCTCACTCGTTTAATCTATACATTTAATTTATATCAATGCTTGCCCAACGTAGCTATCACTTATTTTAAAGAAAGGAGATTGTGGATGAAGATGATTTAGGAGTCTTGCCTTGCTCCTGGCCCGAGAGACAGTCTTCATGAGCTCTTTATTTATCATCATTTTCTGTTCATTTTCTTATCGATTAATACTTTAGCTGTGGTTTAAAGACTTCTAGGTACGCTCTTCGATTATTTAAAATCATAACTACATGCTTGCAGCCTAACCAATGCCAGTAACTACATCTTTGTAGTAATATTATAGTAACAGATGGTTGATTGACCAATTTCCACTACGCTTCTACCTCCCATATGTCTAAAAAAAATTTGTTATCTTATTTACGAGTAAATTATTGGTTGTTAATCTCATTTTTGCATTTTTCTTATTTTTTTCCCATTTAGATTTAATAAAACCTCAAAAAGAATGTATCATATCCAGCCGAATTTTTTGTCTTCTATTGCCTTGGTTTTTCCAGCAATCAAACTCATTTCGAATTTATGATTGGTTTTTAATCCAGGATGTAAGACATCCTCTATCTTTTCTAGGTCTTTTCTTCACCACCTGGGAGATTCGAAATCAGCTTGCGTGCGTCAGGAAAAACATTTTTTTCTCAATATTTAGTTCCTCGGTCAATCTGAACATATCATGCTCATGTTTTTGAAAACAAGGCTGTAACAAAGATAATAGGAAATTAGTATATATATAATAAATGCTTTTTATTAGTTTGTCTTACAAGTAAATTTATATTTGTGCAAAAATATCTGAAGCCATATTTAATGTCTACAACTTATAGGCAGACATAATTCTCGATTTGCTGTTATGGCTTGAATCTATGTTTACTACCTGGACATTGGGATATATTTGTGCTGCTCATTTTATATTATTATTTTTAAGTTAGCTCTCGAGCTATTATGCATCTTTTTCTTGTATATCTCGTTCCTATTTACTTGTTTATTTTACTTCTTGTAAACAGAACAGTCCCGACGTGACGACCTTGAGGCCTTGGGCCACATGTTCCTTTACTTCCTTCGCGGCAACCTCCCTTGGCAGGGCCTCAAGGCGGAGAATCTACGTGAGCGATATCAGAAAATCGGAGATACTAAGAGAGCCACTCCTATAGACGTACTCTGTCAAGGTTATCCGGGTAGGTTCACTATTACTAAAATATGCAGGTTTGTGTATTTTGTTCTATGGTATTTCTTGGTAATGGCATCTGGAAATTAAAAAAAAGATCTTGGTTTTGCGATATAATGGGAATATAGTTCTAGAGGCTAAGATAGAGAAGAGGAGATATAAAAAAATAGTTCAACAGAAAATTGGTTCGGAGGAATGCTTTCTCTTGTCACTTTGACGCTGCTATGGTTTGCGCCCCCTACTGGGACTTCCATTTATGTTGCCGGCACAAACGCACAGATTCAACGGTCGAATTCTGGAAGTGGGCATGGCTACTATCGAAGAGGATTTAGGACTGGGCACGTTTCACAAATTCCCTCTGTTGCACAAACAGTTGCGGAAACGAGTTAAAGTCTAAACCATACAGCTAAAGGAGACTACGACCAAACCCAAGGCTATGTCGTCTTGGTATTCCTTTCTAAGGTAGGGGATGCTTTTAAATCTCGTATGGGATTTTTATTTGACAATTACAATTAGGGATATTACAATTTTATTTATAATCGTTTTGAGCCACATGATTGGTACATAATTTTCCAACAAATTAAATAAACCGATGGTATGAACCAAGATGGTGTGGTCTTTTGTATGGTCACAGTCTCCTTTCGTTTTATAGAAGTTTATTGACGTTGTTTTTGCAACTTGTTCATATTGGTTGGAAGACCTAAAGGAACGCCATAGTATGCATGATAATTTCCCAGTCCGATCGTAGAGGTGGTATTTTCCTAGACGTTTCGCTGGCATCTTCATTGAGTCTCGCCATTTGTAGCATCACACTACAACTCGTCAAATAGACAAGTGAAGCTGATCCTTTGGCCGATTGTCTAATAAACAATCGAGGTATCTCTCCTGCCATGAGCTACTTACCAATCCTATATCCTCGTATTATACCTTCACTACAACATTTTTTTGCTACTTATTTAAATCTGGTATGACGTGCCCTTTTGAGGGGATTTCATGGGAATTCTCTACACCCAAAGCTAGCTTTCTCAAGCGCCCCTTCACCCTTGTGCTTTGAATGTTGATCAGAGTCTGCCATACTATTTTGCCTTCCTCTTCTCATAGGTCTTATCAGAGTCTCTCTTGCTCCGTAAGATCCTCATCCTACCTTGTTCAGGTATTTCACTAGACCCATACCACCCTATCTGTGCTACTCGAAGCCTTATTTCCCACACCGTCTCAAGCCTTTGATGGCACGCATCCTCGCGCCTCGGTTAGTAGGCTTTTAAAAATCAGGATTCTTAAGCTGGATGGTAGACTAACTTGAGTTATTCTCATGATAAAGCCTTTGTTTCATGGGCCACTTCTATGATCAAATATGTCTACTGTTAGCTAACTAGCTCTAGTCTCCTCCACATCTATCGTTTTTCTATCCAAAGTGCCAAGCCTATGACTTCATATTCCCTAGTCTCTTTTCTATCAATTCACAAATGTTGTGGTTCTATATTGAACCTAATCATAACAATAAGTATCACAACATTCATCGGTTGGCACACAAAAGACTAGGGCATAGGATTGGTGAATAGCCCGAGGCGGAAGGAAAGATCCCACAATTGCTTAGCAGGCAATTGGTCAAGTGATTGTTTTTACTTGTATTTTTGACAAGTTGTAGTCTGGTTCTAAGAATGGCTAGGCCTAATTACAATGCCGACTGTGATGCCGGCGAAGCGTCTGGGAATGTACCACGTCCATGTTCCGACTGGAAATTATCATGCGCCCTATGGACTAGGTGCGTTCCTCTATCTTTTCCTATCAATATGAGCAAGTTGCGAAAACAAGGTCAAACAACTTCTATACAACTAAATGAGACTGCGACCCTACAAGAAGCCACACTATCTTGGTCTTTATATCTCATACTAATCTTTTACATTATTAACGAATATTATCCTTACATCTGGATTTCTCTTGAAATATTCATTTTGAAAGGCGAATTTTCTTCACTTTCTGATGCCGAAGATCTATCCATATTTGGTATGGCACTTAATCTTTTCTAGCTATGACTGTTTTCTTTAACCTGACTTTACTTGTTTTCGTTGTATTTCACTTGATTAGAATTCGCCACCTATCTCCGATATGTACGTAGCCTCGATTTTTTTGAAGAACCGAACTACGAATATCTTCGGTGGCACTTTACAGATCTTATGGAACGTCGGGGATGGGCTTGTGATTGGGAATTCGATTGGTGCTATCGGTCTATGCCAACTTCCAAGGTAATCTTAATCTGTTATCCTATTTCTTTATTTCCTACTCGTATATATATATATATATTTATTTATTTATTTATTTATTTATTTATTTATTTATTTATTTATTTATTTATT